CCCCCCCCCCCCCCCCTCTTTCAGGAGACCTGCCGCTGGGGGGGTTAGAAACCTGAGGCTGCATTGCTACTGCTGTACGTACGTGTCGCGCAGGGAGGACAGACCGCGTCACCCTCCCCCCCTTTTCAAGATTCTGCCGCTGGAAGTTTAGAACTTGTGGCTGGTGTTTGTCTCTCATCGGATTAGAAAATATGCAATATTTTCTGTTCAGAAATGAGGCTCAAAACGTTTCGCGAAGTTCTTACTCCTCTATGTATCCAAGAAAACAAGGCAAGAAACAAGGCTGATCGGCGGATCCTGCACTGTCCCACTCTATGCAACAAACCGTCCTATGTTAGCCAGAGGCGAAGAATGATAAGATGTTCACTTTTCTATTTCTTCGGGCCCGTTTTTCCCTCTCCCCGCCCTCCCCCCCCGGGTTGTTGGTGTGTGTGTTTCTTTATTATTTTCACCGACCGCGCTAGCCGGGTGACCATTGACAAGACGTGTATGTGTCTTCCTTGTTCGCATCGACCGCGCCAACTAACCGGCTGACCAATTAAAAAACGTCAGTCTCAGAAGTGCGGTTGAAAACGCCAAATGCTTCGTCTAAAGGCCACGGTCTGCGATCTCTCCGTGTGTGTGTGTGTGTGTGTGTGTGTGTGTGTCTTTATAGTTAGCATCGACCGCGTTAACCGACTGACCAATGAAAAGAGGTAAGCCTCGGTGCGGTTGAAAACAAAAAACACTTCTAAATGAGAATAACTGCTGTGTCCGGTGGTGTGCCAGGGGAACAAGGAGTTCCGGTGGAGTTCGGCGGGCTGCGGTTCAAGGCGGGGCAGTTCGTCTACGCCGACGAGGACGGCATAGTGGTCTCCGATGAACCGCTGCGAGTGCCCAGAGATAGATCGGCATTATGATTACGTACGCGTACGTATGCACGTAACAATACGTACGTAGTTCGGCGTAGTGTCCGACGAAGTGCTGGAAGTGCCCAGAGATTAGATCGGCATTTGTGGCGCACGCATACACGTACGAACGTAGAATGTACCGCGTACGGCAAGCGCAAAACTTGTTGCCTCATGTCTCATTCGGGACGGGCCGCCAAGTTACCGAAGTAACTGTAGGGCAGGTGGATAATGTCACACATACATGCCGCATGTTGCATGAGACGTATGTACCAGCTGGATGTTGCACCCCCTGGACGGAAGTTCAAAGCTTGATATCTCGGCAGGGAAAGCAGTGACGGTGCTGACAAATGACGGCGCAGGAACAGCAGTCTCGTCGAGAGCTTACCGACAATGTACCGTTCGATGAATACCGTAGGTTGCATGACGTAAGATATCAACCCCCCCGGACGGAAGTTCAAAGCTTGATATGTCGGCAGGGAAAGCAGTGACGGTGCCGAAAATCGCGCCATCGGAACCGTGTCGTCGAGAGAAAGCCTTCCGAAAACGTATACGTCAATATCGGCATCCTCTTCGTCGTGGAGTAATCGAGCTTTGACAATCGGCCCCGGTGGTCTAGTGGGTAGCCTCGTAGCCTGCGAAGGGCCAGGTCATGGATTCGAGTTCCGACATAGTGAGCTTTTTCTCGCTAGTTATATCCTGGTCTCGTTAGTAAACTTGATCGACTTCGTAAGTCGCGAGGGAAGGTATTGCTGTGCCCTTCTCGCGAACAAAATATCTCAGGCAGGAACCGCAGGAGGGGGTCCAACCTCCCCCTCCTATGTGACCCCGGTTGGGTCGTCTAGCTGGTAGAAGTGGAGGATGGAGGCCAGAGGGGCAGACGACAGAGTCCAATGATGGGAGACGAAAAAAAAAATCGGTCCAGGAGGTGTGGTATCTTACGCAACTTGCGGAATACGCGCGCACGCCGCCTAAAGAGAGAGCCGGTTTTGGCTGAATGTGTGTGCGTGAAAGCCGACAACCTTGGCGAGGGTCGGACTTTTTTATTGAAAAACCGTTAGACTACACACGGCCGGAAGACCAGATATTTTAGCGCGTGTTACCACCCACGTGCATGCACGCCAACAAAGAGCGGGAGTGGGTTGGTATGGCTGATGTTTATGCGTGGGAAATTCGCCGAAAGAAAAAAATTAAAATTGTTGGACGCGAGACCAATCCGAAACGAGTCACAACCGTGGCTGACGTCATCCGTCGACCATGGAATTTTCGACCGAAGGAAACTTCCCCAAAAGAAAACGGACCAATCTCTCCCTCTCTCACGCTCCGGTTGGCTATTGGAAAAGAAGCCGAGAATGGATGCTTCTTTGGCGCTTGGAGACAAGAGCATGAAAGAACGTACGTGCGTACATGCCCGGGGGCGGAAACAGAAGGGTTTAACCGACTTTATGGTCGCAGTGGGTGCAGCTTGTATCGAGCTTTGCCATGTGTTGTGTGTACCAGTGCATTGGAAAATCCACCAAAACCCAATGTATTTCGTTGCTACAGGGAGGGGAGACGTCACCCGGAAAAAGGACGACTGAGGTCCGGAGGGGAAGGGTTTGCGGCTGCGGCATGGGTGAAGTCGGCAGACCGGTTCATGTTGTCGTCCATCACCACCCGTGCGTTGTTCTCACAAACGCAACAAAGGCAGAAAGGAGGCCAAACGCCGTGGGGACGGACCCACATGCTCTTAAACACAAGGGTCAAAATTGAGACTCAGAAAAAGAATAATTGATCGTAGTTGATCGATCAAACCAACTTAAAACACGCCAATCCAGCGAAATCGCACTGCTGCCGTATCATACGCGTCACACAACGAACGACTCGGCGACACACATACACGTTGTTCGCTGCGTGCCCACAAGGGTAGAGTGCACCATCATCGCCGCCGCGCCAGCCCTCCACATTTGCTTACCGGAACAGCACGGTACGCTACCTGTTGAGGAAAAGATAATCCACATTCTTCACGGGAACAATACGGTGCTTCACCGTAACAGACACGGTACATACAGTACCTAACGGAAATAAAAAGAAAGAACACGGTCGTCACGGTGGAATCAATCGGCAGCCGGATAGGAACAAAACGTCGCTAGGCCCGCCGCGCATCACTACGAGACGTAGGAAAAATACACAACGTAATACTACACAGAACCGGATGCACCACCTTGACCGATCGATCAACAGACGACTATTACCGCCGGGGCCGACAGGCAGCCGGTGGGACCTTGGCACCACAACGACAAAAAAAAAAAAAACGCCCGCAACGAGCGGTCCAAACCTCCCACCAACAGATCTAGCTCCTTCGGCCAATCAGAGCTCGGCGTGCTGGTCGACTAACCAATCGATCGAATCGAATCGACCCATCAGCCAATCGAAGCTCGCGGTGCTCGTCCTCCGCTATACTGAACCAACCGATCAAACCCATCAGCCAATCAGATCAGAGCTCGTCGTGCTCGTCCTCCTCGGCTTCGCTCAGCCAATCCTCGACCGCCTCGCCCTCCTCCTCGCTCTCCTCATCGTCTCCCGCGGCCGCCTTCTTTGCGGCTCTCTCCGCCTGTCAACGGACGGAGGGACGGAGGGACGAACGGAGAAAAAGTGCCCAAGGGGGGGGGGGGGGGGGG